TTATATCAGACCAAGATAAGATTTTCCTCAGCCATTTTTGGGAGGAATTATTTCGCTTGCAAGGTACGAAGTTGTTGTAAAGTACGGCTTATCACCCTCAATCGGATGGGCAAACCGAGGTTGTGAATCGTTGTGTGGAAACTTACTCAAGGTGTTTTGCTGGTGACAAACCCAAACAATGGGTTCAGTGGCTACCATCGGCTGATATTTGGTATAATACAGCTTTCCATGTTGCTGCCAAAATGACCCCTTTTCGGATTCTTTACGAGCGGGATCCTCTACCCCTCATTCGTTATACCACGGGGTCTACAACCAATTACATGGTGGAGCAGCAACTTAAAACTCGTAATGAGGTGGTGGATCAACTCAAAATGCATCTGCTCCAAGCTCAACAGGCTATGAAATTGTCGGCTGATGGAAAAATAAGGGATGTGAATTTTCAAGTGGGTGATTTGGTATACTTAAAACTTCGGTCCTATCGCAATAAGTCTCTTGCTAAGTTTGTGAATGAGAAACTCTCTCCTCGATATTTTGTCACGTTCGAAGTGCTGCAGCGGGTGGACGCAGTGGCGTATCACCTGAAGTTAGCACCTTCGGCTACAATTCATCTCGTTTTCCACGTATCACAACTTCGCCGTGCAATTGGGGCATCATTAGTTTGTCAGCCCTTGCTTGCCCTTCTTCCTCTTTCTGGCATACACGAACTTGAGAGGTAGAGACCTAACAAACTTCCTCCTCAATTAGGCACTGATTTACAATGGCAGGTGGAGCCAGAACGGGTCTTGGACATGCGTCCTTCGGTGCATGGTGATCCACAACGACCCGAGGTTTTGATCAAACGGAAGAATCTACCGAACTTTGAAGTGATGTGGGCATCGTTTGATGCAATCCTCACCCATTTCACCTTGAGGACTAGGTGACTTTTAAGGGGGGGGGGGGGGGGGGGGGAGTATTGATAGGCCTACAATTTGCTATACTTGTGTGAGAACAAGATGAGTTGGTGTTATGATTGTACATGTGTAGGCAGAATGGATGTTATGATTGTACACGTGTAGGCAGTTGGGTTTGTTAGATGGTTATAAGTGCTGGTAAACTGAGTTTGTTAGTCGATTGTAATATCAAGGGGCTGGGAGTCAGTGTTAAAGGATTTGTTAGAGGGTTGAGAATAAAGACAAAAAAATATAAATACGTAGTGGAAGGAAAGAGAAAGGGGGGAGAGTTTTATTCTGGAATAAGTCTTGGATCAACCAAGCAAGGGAGATTGGTTGGCTCTCGAAGTTCACCTGCCTAAGGAAAATTGTACAGGCTTTAAGGCTGGTTCAGATTCAATAAAAAGATTCATTTTCTTTTTCTTCTTTCTTTCTTTCTTTCTCTTCTTTCTTTCTCTATTCCAAGTGTTTCTGGCTCTAAATCAATTCAAGTACCTATCACAATCTTTATTCAAATAAATTAGACAAAGATAAGTATACAAGCAACATAATCCAATAACAAAGTAAAATGGTAAATACAATCATAAACTAAACTGAAGAAATATTTTAAAACTAGAACAAACAAAAATCACCGAAATAAAAACCATAAGAAGAGAAAAGACAGAACAAACCTTGAAGGCTGAGTAAGAAATGCTGTGACAGAATCCATGAATCCCGTGAAAAAACAATCCCGCAGCAAGAAGAGCAAATCGAGTGGAGAGGAATAAAATGCAAATGAACAACAAGGAAGAACCGCAAAAAAAAAAAAAAAAAAAAAAGTGAGATATGGAGAGGTAGAAAAGCTCTCAAGTTTTGGGATGCATTAATGAACAAAGAGAAATCAAGAAGCGACAGAATCTTCAAGCAACAACGTAGACAAAAAGACAATGAAAGGAGCAAGAATGCAAGGAAAGAACAACATGATAGAGTAAGAAGACTACCACTTACAAACGTGAAAACAACACCAAATGTTAAAATGTATGGCATGAAATATGAAAGAATACGGAGACAAACATTTGCACGAATTGGGCGAAATAGATCCCAAGGAACCTGTTCACCCTTATATGAACGTGGATAAATACACTTTTGGAAGAGCTGCACCTATGCACTTTCAAAGAGTACTACCATTTAGAACGAAACTAAATATTGATAGACAAATGGTTCAATTATACCAAAGACAAAAGAGAATTGTTAAAATCAACAATTTTTAGGTTCCTAAAAGCATGAACATCATTAAAAATTTATCAAAATGCGGCAAATACAATATATAACATAAACATGAGTGGAATTCAACAAACAAAGAATAAGTGGGAAAGAAAAGGGTACCTTGTTCAGTATGTTGCTTTTTATCAAAAACCACCACTGGAGCAGGAAAAAAATCACAATTTAAATAAGTTAAACTTTGAATTGTTTGTTCACCTACTATATGAGAATCCAGAAATAACATAAAAAAAAATAAGAACCCTGAATTGAACAATATAAAATAAGTCGAATAAAAATATAGTCCACTTATCAGCAATCAAAATAATAGAACCCAAACACAACAATAAAAAAGTCAAAAAGCAGAAGAAGAAGAGAGGAAGGAGGCACCAAGCAAGCATCTTTATGTTCGTGTCCATCTAATACCATCGACTTGTAGGCTGTGAACAATGTTTTATCTAACCAAAAGAAATAAGATACAGAGCTTAACCCATATAACATATCAAGCCAAAAACATCTCAAACTAAAGACCATCACAATCGATCCAAAAATATTCTAATTTCTTAAAATTATGAAACATGGTCAGATAAAACCACCATGACTCATGAGAACCATAAAAATAGAAGAACTAAAAAGAGGTCCACAGATGAAGAAAAACAATGTAAGTTTCCCATAGACAAAAATCTTAGTAAAAAAAATTAGAATTGTAAGAAATCGAATCATTAGAAATTAAAATCCACACTCGTCTAAAAGAGGGAATGAAAAAGTCGGAGATCGAATACCAATCTTTTTTGTTCCACAATTAACAGAGAGCGAGATATAGATTGGGGTATAATCTGAAAATTCAAGAGTGAAACGGCGGCTAGAGTACATATAGAATGTACCTAGGCTTTCCTCCTGCAATGGAAAAGGGGAAAAAGAACTCCTTGCTTTCCCTAAATGAAAAAATGCAGTAAGCTCATGAGACAGGGCAAAAGTTGTGAAGATGAAGATAGATAAAAATTAATCGATAAAGTGATGGTGTGTAAAAGAGAGACTAAGGTGTTGTTTGGTCGGGAGATTCGTTTCCTGATTCGAATCATGGTTCGTGGTTTGCTACAGTATTTTCTCTCACAAAAAATACACGTAAATTGAACGTGGTTCTAATCACATGGTTCTAATCCATGAACCAAACATAATATAACATTCTTTGGAATGCAAGAGAGGGAGGGACGAATCAATGGCGGCGCTAACGCAATCGGTGGTCGCAATGATCATCACAGTCACTGGTTTTCATTCTTTTTTGCATCATCTTCTTCCATTTCCAACTCTTTTTCTCTCTTTTCTTTACTTGTATTCTCACAACAAAAAAAGAAATACAGTTGTGAATCTAATTTTAAGATCTCAGCAACATTGGAAGCTACAGGCCCCCCTCTTTTTTATTTTTGTTAATATTTCTTTTACGTCCTCGCAAGAGAGGGAGGGACGAATCAATGGCGGCGCTAACGCAATCGGTGGTCGCAATGATCATCACAGTCACTGGTTTTCATTCTTTTTTGCATCATCTTCTTCCATTTCCAACTCTTTTTCTCTCTTTTCTTTACTTGTATCCTCACAACAAAAAAAGAAATACAGTTGTGAATCTAATTTTAAGATCTCAGCAACATTGGAAGCTACAGGCCCCCCTCTTTTTTATTTATGTTAATATTTCTTTCACGTCCTCGCAAGAGAGGGAGGGACGAATCAATGGCGGCGCTAACGCAATCGGGGGTCGCAATGATCATCACAGTCACTGGTTTTCATTCTTTTTTGCATCATCTTCTTCCATTTCCGACTCTTTTTCTCTCTTTTCTTTACTTGTATCCTCACAACAAAAAAAGAAATACAGTTGTGAATCTAATTTTAAGATCTCAGCAACATTGGAAGCTACAGGCCCCCCTCTTTTTTATTTTTGTTAATATTTCTTTTACGTCCTCTCTCTCTCTCTCTGAAGATTATTAAGCAAGAAGGCCATGGGATTTATTTGGAGTTAAGCTCTCTTAATGTTGATGAAAGTATGATAGTAGTGGCAACGAGGAGAAAAAGGTGCAAGAATTGCTCATCTCCCACATGTTAGTTTTTGAGATGCTGGCGGGGTTACCACCAAGCCGAGGAAGAGACCATGGTATAAAGATCAAGGAAGGCACGACCCCGATAAGCGTTAGGCCTTATCATTATCCTCATTTTCAGAAAAATGAGATAGAGCGCTTGGTCAAAGAGATGTTGACAGCAGGTATTATATAGCCTAGCACTAGCCCATTTTCTAATCCGGTTTTATTAGTCAAGAAAAAAGCTACCTGGTAACTAGCATTTTTGTATTGATTATAGAGCCTTAAACAAGGCTACTATCCATTACAAATTTCTGATTCCAATAATTGAGGAATTACTTGATGAACTTCATGGGGCAGCCATATTTTCTAAACTGGATCATAAGTCAGGCTATCATCAGATTCACATGAAGCAAGAGGACGTGCCTAAGACCGCTTTTCGACCGCCTTTAGGACGCAAGAAAGCCATTATGATTTTTTGGTGATGCCATTTGGCTTAACCAATGCTCCGGCAACTTTTTAGGCGTTAATGAGTGATGTTTTAAAGGATTATTTGCGGAAGTTTGCGTTGGTTTTTTTTTAATGATATATTGGTGTATAGCAAAACGTTAGAGGAGCCTTTGGGTGATTTGGAGTTGGTGTTTCTGGCGTTGGAAGAACATAAACTCTATGCTCAAAGGAAGAAATGTTCTTTTGCTCAACAACAAAAACCACAAAAAAAATTTTATTAAATTTTTTTTATTAAACCACATAAATTGCTCAACATAAACTCTATAAGATGCAATAAGGAATAAGAGACGAACCGTGTTTACCTGACATTATCCACCAACGGCCATCATAAATATCTCGCTACCACCAACTAGAGAACATGCATTTGTCATAGCATAAAGGAAGCTTACCAAAATCTGTGACAGAGAAGAGAAGCAACATTTTAATGAGAGAGAGATACTACATCCAAAAAGTTTAATTTGATAGCTAAAAGAAATTAGTAACAATTAAACCATAAAGTTGATATATACACAATACTAGAGAAATACTACAAGTCTACAGCCACATAGTTTGATTTTCACCATATCTGTCAAATGTACCTTGTACAATGCTGGACAGGCATCTTCTCTCTCTGTCTACCTTCCTTTTAACTCATGTTGCAATCAAATTTTCTTTTAAGATTCAAAACCTTCTTCTTTCTACATTTCACGTTCCACTTTCTGGATCCATTTCTCAACCTGAACCATATACCATGTTTTTTATAACCATTTTCCAGTAACTATTACGCAAAAAAAAAAAAAAAAGAAACGCAATATGCAGCTCAGTTTAGCAATCCCCTTTTCAAGAGCCACTTTTAGCCCATGTTAGTCGTACTAAAAGAACATCTAAAAGGAGGGAAGTAAAACAGTCCTTACCTGGAAATTTCTTTGATTAGGATCCAATAAATCTGTAATTTGCTCGTTGTAAATCTGAAAAATCAGTTAATGAGTTAATGGAAGAAAAAACACAGTTAAATAGTCCAATCAACATTATTGATTTGCTCCTGCAGAGAGAAGTTCCATAGAGGACTTGCAGCAGATGGATACAAAATTCAATGCATAGAACGTAAGAAAGACAAAACAAAGTTACCTCATTTATCCAAGCAAAAAGACGCTCAAAAATTCTAGGAGTTAAACCTTGTTGATCACTCGATATGTTTTAATCCAAAAATGAGTTGGTTGGACCCCACATCGTATAAGTCTTTTCACTTCCCACCTAGCAACAATCATTTTTGCATATGTTACATATAATAGTTGGGACACGTGCTCCAAACTTCTTCTTCTAAATTGTATATGTATTTTAAATATAGCTTGTTTCTCGCTTGTTTAGAAGGATGAGTTTTTTTATTTAAAAAAAAAGATTTGGTGACTGATAAGCCACAGTGTATTTTACTTACGTGAGGAGGAATAAAAGGCAAGGGCAAAAAGGAAATTCTGTAGAGGGGCTGCCTAATGTAGAGGAATAGCATGTAGGAATAACGGTTTTGGGGGGAAATACGGGGGATATAAAGGAGTAGAAGTAGATGAGGATTTTAGAGAATTATATTGAGAAGAAATTGGAGAGCCGAGGTCTCTCGAAAACCTCTGTGTGTGTGTATAGTGTCCAGAAAGATTCTCATTGAATCCTTTCGACAGTTGTTCAATTCAATAATACTTGAGTAATTGCATCTTTACCTGTGATTTACCTGTGATCCCGTATCGGTGACGTGTGGTAAACTGTGTACAGCTTGGAAAACAGCCTGGAAAACCGTGTACAGCTAGATAATATTTTAGGAAATTAGTTTGACAGATTGTATCCTTAGAATTAGTGATAGTTTCCTAATTTGTTACTTTCCTAAATTGTTAGGATTTAGACTTAGAAGGTGTTTGGTATGAGGATTCGTGTCATGGTTCGTGGCTCGCTACAGTGTTTTTTCTCACAAAAAATACACGTAAACCGAGAAGTGTTCTGAATCATGGTTCTGAATTCGTGAACCAAACATCCACTTAATGTTAGGGGTGCTATATATATGTATGTTGCCGTGTAAACATTCAATATAATAGAAAAACAGGTTTTTCATCTTCAATTCACCAAGTCAGTTGATCATGATCAAGGGCAGTTTATCTTCATCCTTGATATCATAGTGTATTATCCAATAAAGAAAAAAAATTTCTCCATCATTGTCGACTTGGACATCCATCGTTTAGAGTTACTAAGATTATGTTTCCTTCTTTGTTTAAAAATTTAACAGTTGAAAGATTCCAATGTGAAGTGTGTGAACTTGCTAAGCACAAGCATGTACCTTTTCAAATTAGTAATAAAAGAAGTTCCTTTCCTTTTTATCTTGTTCACAGTGATATTTGGGGTCCATCTATGGTTTCTAACGTTTCTGGGGCAAGATGGTTTGTTTCTTTCATTGATGACTGTACTCGTGCTACATGGATTTTCCTACTTAAACAAAAGTCTGATGTTAGTAATGTATTCCCTAATTTTCATTCTATGGTCAAAAATCAATTTGGGGTCTCAATTAAAAGGTTTAAGTCAGATAATGCCAGGGACTATTTCAATCAAACTCTTACCCCATTCTTTTAGAAAGAGGGAATAGTACACGAATCGTCATGTGTCATGTGTCATTACTCCACAACAAAATGGAGTAGCAAAAAGGAAAAATGGTGATCTTCTTGAAAAAACTCGAGCCTTGTTGTTTCAAAAAAATGTGTCAAAGGCTTTTTGGGGGGAAGCAGTCCTTACAGCCACTCATCTGATAAATCGTTTGCCTTCAAGAATCTTGGATTCTAGAAGTCTCATGGACATACTCATCATTTTACCCGAACCTGAAGACTGCAAACAATCTTGTCCCTAGGATTTTTGGGTGTGTCATTTGTCCATGTTCACAGTCAAAATAGGGCGAAATTAGATCCAACGGCTCTAAAATGTGTCTTTGTGGGATATTCTTCAACTCATAAAGGATATAAGTACTATCATCCCCCGTCAAAGAAATTCTATGTCTCGATGGATGTCATGTTCGATGAACAAAAGTCTTATCTCTAATCCTTATTATCCACAGGAGAGTTCATTGAAAGAGGATAAGGAAGGTTTTTTGCTGAAAGAGTTCATTGAAAGAGGATAAGGAAGGTTTTTTGCTTGATATGTCATCAATCCACAAGTCGGACAGTTCCACTCATGTTCCTTCTGCTACACCTGGTCCGTCTTGTTCCTCTCATGTTCCTGAACCCGTACTTGAAACACCAAATGAACCACAAGAAAAACCCGATTTTGCCCTGGAAAATGTGAGATTTGGTAAAGGCAACGTGTTCACAAGAAGGACGAAGGCTATTCCAAAACCTATGCAGGTCCAAGAATCCAACTCAAACCCTTCGAATGAGGTAACTATTTCTAGCCATTTTTTACAAGATAAAACTGAATTGCATGTGGATAATGATGACCAGGACCTTCCAATTGCCATTAGGAAAGGAACTAGAGAGTGTACAAAGCGACCTTTACACCCTCTTGCACATTTTCTATCCTTTAATAATTTTTCGCCATCTCATAAAGCCTTTGTTGTAAGCCTAAATACCATCACCATTCCAACCACCTTGTCCGAGGCTTTATCTAACGAAAAATGGAAACAAGCTATGAATGTGGAAATGGAGGCGTTGAAAAAGAACAAAACTTGGGAGTTGGTGAAGTTATCGGAAGGAAAAAGACCAGTGGGTTGTAAATAGGTGTATACTGTGAAGTATAAAGTAGATCGGTCGATTAAGAGGTACAAGGCGCGGTTAGTAGCCAAGGGGTATACTCAAACTTATGGGATCGATTATCTAGAGACTTTTGCCCCTGTGGCAAAGATGAACATAATACGAGTATTGTTATCACTAGCAGCAAATTATGGTTATGAGTTGCAGCAGTTTGATGTCAAAAATGCCTTTCTACATGGGGAACTAGAGGAAGAGATTTAGATGGAGGTTCCACCAGGATGGGAAGAATTTGACTGCTCATACCGTGTGTAGATTGAAGAAGGCACTGTATGGCCTTAAGCAGTCACCACGGGCATGGTTTGGGAGATTTGCAAAAGTTATGTTGGCTACGGGATACAAACAAAAACAAGGGGATCATCCATTGTTCATTAAGCATTCTCCTTCAGGGGGAGTTGCAGCTCTTTTGGTGTACGTTGATGACATAATATTGACAAGAGATGATGTTAGGGAGAAACAAGTCTTGAGTCAGCATTTGGCGAAGCAATTTGAGATTAAAGCATTAGGAAGGTTTAAGTACTTTCTCGGGATTGAAGTTGCTCACTCGAAGCAGGGAATCTTCTTTTCTCAACAGAAGTATGTTACGGATCTTCTCAAGGAGACTGGCAAGACAGCATGCAAACCAACGAGTACTCCTATATATCTGAATTTCAAACTTGGGAAAGAAGAGGAGGATGCCGCAGTGAATAGAGAAATGTATCAACATTTAGTGGGAAGACTCATTTACTTGTCTCACACATGACCAGCTATCGCATATGCAATGAGTGTGATTATCCAGTTTATGCATAGTACAAAGGAAGTCCATCTGCAAGCAGCCTATAGAGTTCTACAGTACCTCAAAGGAACGCCGGGAAAAGGTATTTTGTTCAAAAGGAATGGGGGGTTAGTCCCCGAAGCATACACTAATGCTTATGCTGGGTCAACAACAATTGTTGACAGAAGATCAACCTCAGGATATTGCATCTTCCTTGGGGGGAATCTCGTAACATGGAAAAGTAAAAAAACAAAGCATAGTAGCCCGATCGAGTGCCGAGGCTGAGTTCCGAGTCATAGCTTAAGGAGTGTGTAAACTACTTTGGCTGAAGATTATCTTTAAAGATTTGAAGATCAAGTGGGACAGCCCTATGAGAGTCTATTGTGACAACAAATCTACGATCAACATAGCTCACAACCCAGTACAATAGAGCCAGACCAAGCACATTGAAATCGACACACTTTATCAAGCAGAAGTTAGAAAGTGGACTGATTTGTACGCCTTACGTGTCTACATGTGGTCAACTCGATGATGTTCTTACCAAAGGATTGAGTAGTTCAGTTTTTCAGAAGATTGTATCCAAGCTGGGAATGGAAAATGCCTACTCACCAGCTTGAGGGGGAGTGTGGAAAAACTGGGTACAGCTTAGAAAACAGCCTGGAAAATCGTGTACAGCTAGATAGTATTTTAGGAAATTAATTTGACAGATCATATCCTTAGAATTAGTGATAGTTTCCTAATTTGTTACTTTCCTAAATTGTTAGGATACAAACTTAATGTTAGTGGTGCTGTTAGAGTTAAAAGTTCAGCAACAAGAGCAACAAGAAAGACTGAGTAAAAACGGAGAGTTGTATTAAGATAGTATTCCAGGAATAAAGTGTAGAACACAAAGTAATCCAAACGCTACTATATTGCTCTAGAACCAAAAGGAATTACAGTAATACTCTAAGGATAGTATGATGTTTAATGGTGGAATAACACCCCCAAGTTCAAACCCGATCAAGAGGATGATCCTCTTGCCCAGCCAAACATTTCTGTTAATTTCTGCCCACCCACTAACGCCGCCCCCCAGCTCCTAAATCCCCTAGCTAACGCAGCTAGCCTGCCACGCGTCGCTCCCTCATTTGCTGATCCCGTAACCGTTTGTAACCAACTCCTTCCTCCTTCGATAAACCCGCCAGGGTTTGGGCCCCGTGTGAGGCCCATCTGTACCTGGACCTGGATTAGGCAGATGGGTCGTAACATTGCCTCCCTCTTGAGAAACGGCCCTGCCCTCAAGGCTGTGCTGGGGAAATTGTCCCTGGAACACCTCATCGTCCATCCAGGTGGCCTCCTCGACAGGCTTTCCTTTCCACCGCACGAGGACCTGCTTCACCGTTCCGCCATCAGCCTTCTGGAACCGCTCAGCAACTATTTCTTCCGGTTCCACCATGGCCCCCTCGACAGTTTCCAACCCCTCTGGTAGCTGGCCTACGACTGGGTGGTCGCCCACTACCTTCTTCAATTGGGAGACATGAAAAACCGGATGAATGCGGGAGGTAGAAGGTAGTTGTAACCGGTAAGCCACGGGCCCAATGCGCTGCAGAATAAGAAAAGGCCCATAATAACGGGCGGAGAGCTTCGGGTTAACGCTGTGCGCGACGGTTTGTTGACGGTGGGGCCGCAACTTCAGGAACACCTTGTCTCCTACGGCAAATTAGACATCCCTCCGGTGTGCATTCGCAGACTTGCGCATCCTGTCTTATGCTCGCAAGAGGTTGTACCTCAACTGCCGCAAGATTTCCTCCCTGTCCGCCAACAAACTAGAAACTGCCTCAATTCTTGTTTCCCCTGGCAGAAATTTATGAATCGTCGGTGGGGGTCTACCATAGACAATTTCAAAGGGTGTTCTCCCTGCTGCGGCATGGTATGCAGTGTTGTACCACAGCTCCGCCCAGCTCAACCATTGCGGCCATTGTTTCGGCTGCTCCGAAACAAAACATCTGAGGTAAGTTTCCAGGCCCCGATTGAGAACTTCAGTCTGACCATCCGTCTCCGGATGATAAGAAGAGCTCATCCGTAGCACCGTCCCCTGCAATTGAAAATATTCCCTCCAGAATGCGCTAATGAAGGTAGGGTCCCGATCACTTACTATCGAGCTGGGAACGCCATGTAACCGAACGATCTCTTTCGCAAAAACAGCCGCAATCGACCTCGCAGTGTAGGGGTGTTTGATGGCGATAAAGTGTGCATATTTGGAAAACCGGTCAACCACGACATAGATGCAGTCAAAGCCGGCTGACTTTGGAAGTCCAGAGATGAAATCCATGGCAATGTCGTCCTAAACTGCCGTCGGAATTGGAAGTGGCTGCAGCAGCCCGGCTAGTGTTGTGGCCAAGTACTTTTGCTTCTGACAAACCAGGCAAGCAGCCACGAAGGTCTTCACCGTTTTCATCATCCCCGGCCAATAGAGATTGGCGGCTAGGCGTCGATAGGTCCGGAAGGCACCTGAGTGTCCCCCTATGGCAGTACCATGTAACTCTTGTAAGAGTGACTGAATCCATGGAGTATTGGCTGGAATGACTAACCGACCCTTGTAAAACAACCGATCCTAGACCAACGTATAGGGTGGGCAGCTTTTGGGATTTGCGTGGAGTTGCTGCACAATTGGGGCGACCTTAGGATCGGCGATAACTCCTCGAATGCCCCCTGTTCCTTTGTAGTCCAATTAAATCCCAAATTCTTCTTCAACAATTCCGTGAGGGGTTGGGCGATCTTTCCATAACCCTGAACAAACCTTCGATAATAGCCTGTGAGGCCCAAAAACCCGCGAACTGCCCGGAAGGTGCGGGGCGCTGGCCAGCGAAGGATGCTGGAAATCTTGCTGGGGTCCATGGCTACTCCTCGTGCCGAGATAACATGTCCCAAGTAATCCACCGATTGCCTCCCAATTTGGCATTTCTTTTTGTTAACGACCAATTGGTTAACCGTCAACAACTCCAACACCACCCGTAAATGCCCCACATGTTCATCCCAAGTTGTGCTGTAAACAAGGATGTCGTCAAAAAAAAACCAACACAAACTTTCTGAGGTAGGGTCAAAATACCTCATTCATCGTTGCTTGGAAGGTGGCAGGCGCATTGGTGAGCCCAAAGGGTATCACCAAGAATTCATAATGCCCTTCATGTGTCCGGAAAGCCGTCTTTGGCACATCCGCCGCCCGGACACGTATTTGGTGGTAGCCAGCACGAAGGTCCAATTTGGAGAAGTACTCAGCCCCCTGTAGTTTGTCCAGCATGTCACAAATAACCGGGATGGGGTACTTATCTGGAACTGTGACCTTGTTTAGTTGGCGGTAATCCACGCAGAAACGCCAGCTCCCATCTTTCTTTCGGACCAGGATTACCGGGCTCGAGTAAGGACTTGTACTTGGACGAATCACCCCTGCCGCCAACATCTCAGAGACTGGTTTTTCTATTTCGTCTTTCTGCATATGAGCATACCTGTAAGGACGGACACTCACTGGATTTGCTCCTTCCAAAATAGGAATGGAGTGGTCCGTGGCTCGTAGTGGCGGAAGCCCGTTAGGCTCTTGAAAAATCGTGGCATAGGCGGTCAGTAATTGGTGCAGTTCAGCCCTTTGGTCTGCTGATAGGGCATCGTCATACGGCGGTGCTTTTGTCACTTCCACGGCTCGGCTCTCGACTTCCCACAACAGCCCGCTGAAGATCACATCAACCGTCTTGAATAACGACTGGGCCGAGACAGGCGTGCGACACAGGGCTGGATCACCCATAATTTCCACCGTTGCACCCAGCCAGTCAAATTTCATTGACATGGTGCGCCAATTTACCCGCACTTCCCCCAGGGTCTCAAGCCACGCTACCCCCAAAATTATATCGACCCCACCCAAATCAAATTTGTAGCAATTTACCAGGAATGAGAGGTCACCCAACATTATTTGAACATTTTTGCAAACCCCCCGAGCCGACACCCTATGTCCATCTCCCAATTTCACCCCAAAACTTCCCGTGTCCTCCAGCGGTTCAACCGGTCAATAACCCCCGTAGAAATAAAATTGTGGCTTGCACCACTATCTACCATGACGACTATAAGGTTCCCATTCACTGAACCAGCGAGCTTCATGGTACGAGGCTGAGAAATTCCCCCCACCGAAAATAACGGAAGCTCCACGTGGCTGAAATATGCCTCATCGAGCTGCTCGCCCGCGACGGTCTCCTTGGCTTCCAGCCTATCGAGGTCCCCTTCCTCCTCAAGTTCGTCCTCCTCGCCGGCAATTATGGCTCTCATGCTCTTGTTAGGGCACTGGTGAAGAGGGTGGAACGGATGACGACACTTAAAACACAAGCCCATTTCCCGCATCTCCAAGAATTCTTGGTGCGAGTAATTCCGTGTCCCCTTGGACCTCTGATTTGCCGGCGGAAGTCTGTCCGGTGGTTGAAGTCCCACCGATTCCGTTCGAGAAACTTCTCCCATGGGTCGAAGAGTGTCCCGAGGTGTGTGAGTGGTTCTAATGTCTTGAACCGAGCCTGAAAAAGAATGGGTACCCGATTTCCAATTAACGGGTCGGGTAGGTGGGTAAGCTGGAGCCCGCCCAAAAGTACCCTGCCCGGAAGAATAACGGTGGTTTGTAAACGACATGTTTCCCCCCTGTCGTCCACCGAATACACCTGTCGTCTGGATGCCCAGCTCCTCCTCCACGTCACAGGCCAACTCCATCGCTCTGGAGACATCTGTCGGGTTATGGGTGCGGATGCAACGTCGTAACACGTCCTTAAGCCCCCCCATGAAATATCCTAAGGCTTGCGGATCCGGGAGTTCCGGGACCTGCACGACTGTGGCTACAAACTCCTCGATATATTCGGCGACAGAGCCTGTTTGGCGGAGCGTGGTAAGTCGTTCGTACGGATTTGTGGCCTTCCGTCCGCTGTAACGCCGGATTAGTTCGGCGACCAACACCTCCCAAGAGAGAGATGGATCCTTCTTCC